TTGTATCTTTAAAATTTCTATAATACTTATATATTTGCTCTTGTTTTCGCACAACACTTTTTATTATTCTTGAAATAACCAATTGCAACTTTTCCAGTTGCTTTGACCAGTGCTGCTGCATCATTCGGGGATCAGATTGCTGGCGATCCCCTAACATTCGTTTTTTTTTTTTTGCTGAAAGAATTGCTAGTTTAGCGGTTTTTCGGGCAAAATTACTTGACGAGAAATTGTCTGCTTCGTTTTATATGTGGGCATTATCAGCTATCCCTGCATGTCTTTATTGCTGGACCACGATAAGTTGCCTTTATCGGCGACAAATTTTCACTAAAATTTAGAAAATTTGGTTTTTAGGAAAAGAGATAGGCAGTGGAATAGACCGGAAATACAGCCGCGGTACTCTTTCAGACAGTGGCCCAGCACTGGCCCGTACGCAATCTTCACATTCTGACATATCTACAGATGTGTTACATTGTCAGACCCAGACAAGCCAGCTAACAAGGTGCGTTTTTGGCTATTTTTACCTCTCACTCATTGAGCGCTCCCTCTAGGTCTCTGGTGTCTCTTCCTAACCCATATTGTATACTTTTTCCCCTCTGAATTATTTTTGGCCCTATTTAATTCTAGCGTTGAAATCTCCGAGATTAGGGGTCTCTGACGAATTTTGTTGTTTTTCTCGTATCGAATCGTTTCTTCCATTTTTTCGTCTTTTGAGTATAAATTTACAGCTTTTTTTGTTAATTTGTTCTAATGATTTTAGTGACAAGTACCTTTTCGCATCAAAAAAAAAAAAAAAAATGTAAGGGACAATTTTAGTTTTGCAGAATTTTTGGGTGAAATTTACTTGTTCCTTCAATTTATTCATAATCATAATTGTATGTGAGAGCCTTCGTATTTTTGCTTTGAATGTCATCGTATTGCTGGTGGTTCTAGCATTCGTTCCTCTGTTTTTTTATTTTTTTTTTTTTTTGCCGGAAAGTCTTATGAATTGTATGGAGATTTTGTTCTGTTCTTGCAGATCGGCATCACAATCAGGCAGCATGCAGTTGGCAGATACTCCGTCGCTCACAGATATTTTTGACTTGGAATGTACTGAAGTGAGCGATGGAGAAGATGCGCCTCTTGAAGTATGTGTTTTACCACAGAAGATATCC